AATTAAATAGGCTAAGATTATTGGATCGATCTTTTTTTTTAGATGATATACACTAAGGACTTTACAAAATGAAAAATTTAAATCATTAAAACGTGACCCATGGTGGACTCCCATGGCCCGAAAGGCATCCTTGTTGGCCATGTATTGATTTGTGTATTTATTTTGAATCTTTCATATTTTCCAATTTAATACTTTGACATTTGCTTGAATATTACTATCTAAAACTTGAAAAATTAAAATTGTAAAATTCAAGTTTTTAAATAAACCTGAAATGGTGTGTTTTTATAAGGGATTTGTCTTTTCTGTAGTTGAAAGTTCAAATGGAACAGACAGTTAAGGTCTCTTACCGATAACAGTCATTAAACGGAGGTCTCTTACCAGTAAGAGTTTATGAAATGCATTGGCCCATTATTTTAACTCTTCGTTTAGTTAAATCTTTTCATAAACTCGCAACGGTAAGAGACCTTCGTTTAATGACTTTTATCGGTAAGAGATCTCAACTGTCTGGTCCAGTTGAAATTTCAATTGGAGACAAACGATTCACTTTCATAAAATCATAGAACATAGATTATCAAAGTCAAATAGATAAAATCACGATGAAATGTGAAAATAATGTGAAGCCTGATTTTCTCTCATTTTGTACTTTTAATCTGCCGAACCCATCAATTTTGAGAAAGGGTGGATATATTGTTGGTTGAAATTTTCTTAATATATTCAATTGATGATTTGTTGTCAAAACAATCAAACCAACTCGTGCACAACAGCTATTTCTCATTGAGGACAAAAGGTTGCACCAGTGCAACAAAAAGATTTGTTACTTCCAATCTATTATAGTTTCCATTACATAAAACAAAATCATATTAGCTGTTATGGAACCAACAATTTAAGTTTTGGCATTAATTGGAACATAGTAAAATCAATTTATTGGACTTCAATTATTGACTAATTAAGACTAACATAAATTTATTGGGCTACATTGTACTGCTTGTTATAATGCTGAACGTGGAGTCTAATGTTTAACAATTATGTTATGAATGTTGCAGGTTACATTCCCTTCCCTGGAGAGATTGCAAATTAAAAGACTAACAAAGATAACAGAGATATGGGATAGGAAATTACTTCCATCAGACTCTTTTCGACAGTTGAGAGACGTGACCATCAGGAGCTGTGAGAAATTGGTGAATGTCTGTTCGTCCAATATCCCTCGACAATTACCGAAACTAAAACGACTTGAGGTTCGTGAATGTCGAGAGCTGAAAGTAATAGTATTGAAGAATGGGGGGGAAGAAGAAGAAAACAACAATAATACCAATTCGTTCCTTCAATTAACGAGTTTGACACTTGAAGATTTGCAGAGCCTCAACAGCTTTTTCACCTATAGATCTGAAACACAATCCCTCTTCACTAGCCAGGTATGAATGTCCTCATCAGTTTTGGTTGCACATGACCAGTAAAACCAGAAAAACAAATGTATATATACGTATATATATGTCACGCCCCACTTTTTGTTACTCGGAGTCATTACCAAATTCTTTAACTTAATCCAATTTCAGAGATAACATGCGGAAATAAACTCATACATTCAATCCGTAGAAATGATTAACAATACTCTCATTCTTATGCAAAGTAAACATTACATGAACTAACTTAATAAATTGCCCTTGGGCTTACATCATTAAAAGTACAAGAAGAAGGGTGTAACCCTTTACAACAATGGCATTCCGCCAACATAACTAAGGCCCCGTGGCCAACAAATAAGAAGATCCAAATCTTACAGCTCAACCTGCTTGAAACCTGAAACAATTGATAACCAATTTGATGAACATAAAGTCCAGTTCGTTAATGGTGGGCATGTTGAATGAAGGAGCAAATAATGGGTCTTGGAAGGATAAATTGGGCTATTAAAAATTAATGGGACTTGAAGGAGCAAATAATTTTATTTAGAACTTAATGGAGTATAAGTTCACAAAATGGAACTTGTATGTAAATGCCCCATTATTTTTTAAAAATATATAAAACAAAAATTCTATATTAAAAAAATATCTAAAACAAAGATAATTCTTTTTAAAAAAATAACAGGTTACAATTGCAAAAAAATACAAAATAAAAAAATAATAATAAAAATTGCATTGTTACAGTCAACCTGTGGGACAATCGACAAGATGTCTGGGGGATGTCTGGGCAGACGATTGGGAAGACCCAATCCGCTACATTTCATACATTTTTGTGCTGTATTTTGTTAAGTATTAACAAATTGAAAAAAAATATTTTTTTACTTTAAATACATAATTTTAGTTTTAAATATTTTTTTATAAAAATATTTTTAAATCTTTTAATTTTTTTGTTATGTGTTTGGTTACGATTTGAGTGAAGAGTTGTGTTTTGAGTTTAAAATAATAAAATTCAAATATTAAAATATTTATAAAATAAAATAAAATATTTAAAATAAAAATTTGAAAAATATCTAAATAAAAATATATATTAAAATAAAAAAATAAAATTTTGTTAAACATTTTTTAATATTTTTAAAAAATAGATCCATAAAATTTAAAATAAAACTTAAAATTAAAAAACTCAAAACTCAAAATACAACTCAAAAGCCTCCTTGGAGTTAGCAGTATCAGGAGGTATTTTGAAACCATCATCTTCTA